TGACCAGTTCTGGTTTTGGATGATGATGTTAGTCAGACTCACCTGGTCAGCAGGAACCAATCACCACAAGCCCTGAAGCAACAGTAATAGAAATAGGAAGTTACTAAGGAGCTGTACCTTTTCAAAATAAAGCGATCAGAAAATTATGGATTTGTTTATGTTCTTAATTGCAAAAATATCAAAATATAAGAAACAGATTTGTCAAACAGATCATCCATTTTGTTTTGTGGTGATAAATCTGTAGATGTTGCTGTACTAACTGCTTAGATACCAGGTTATTTTATATAATTTTAAATGATAATTGGCCTATATGATTTTTGTTCTTGTCCATAAGCATATGACTACATGTCCAGTCTAATTATGGCTGATTTTATTCTTTTCTTTGTTCAGACTGTTCTGAATAATCATTCATATATTTGCTGTAATGTGTGGGGGTCTTTGCCTTTTAATGACATCACCCTGCAGGTGTTACACAGCTTCCCTCAGGTGTTGATTGATTTAAACCTTGGGATGGTGTGTAATTCTGATGCTTACTGGAGTTTTATTTTTTTGAAATGTAAAAAATGTTTCTCAAATTTTACTAATACCAATATTTTTAACTTATAAAGGCACCTTATGTAAGTGAGAGCAGTGTTTCATGACTCATGAGATTAATCATCATCAATTTCACTGTAATTTTTCTTTTTCCACAATAATTAGTTAACACAATAAAACACACCTTTCAGCGTTTCATGCATTTTTAAACTGTGTTTGTTGAGACCTGGAATGTCTTTAAGGCACTTTGGATCACCACCTGTAGTTTAAATGTGCTATAGTCTGTAAATAAAATAAATGTGAAGGTTCAGCTCTTTATCATAGTGCATGTTTGAAGTATACCTTCTCATTTCCAAAAATGAGAAATGTGAATGGGAGGCAGAGGACAGGACTAAAGATGCACCTGTGTGGCACACCTGTGCTCAGAATTAGGGTTAATAAGGTGTGGCCTCCCATCCTGGCATTCTGGGCCTATCTATGATCCATGTGCTCAGTAAAGAGTTCAAGCGGTCTCTTCATTAACCAGTTTGTTGGGCAATATGGTGCTGAACACAGAGCTCAAATCAACAAACAGCATCCGTACAGGTGTGCTGATGAAGGTGTGTAAGGACTGCGTCTTGTCTCTCACAGATGTTTGGTAGACCAGCTGGACAACAGTTGTTTGGACAGGTGACAGCTGGTGAGCTGGCACAATGATGGCTGACTGGCTGAGGTTTTCAAACCAGACATAACAGCAAAAACAACAGCAGCACCTTGAAGACAGCTGGACGCAATCGGTCATGTGATCAGCTGGGCAGTCAATAAGAAGCTGCAGTATTTATCAGATGTTAAAATCCGTTTTATTACTAAGACACACAGAGATTAACTCAGAACCAAAAAACATGTTTCTGTTCTTTCTTCTTGACAGGAAATTGTAAACATACGAGTGATATCATGAGTAAATATCATTTGTTTGTTTTCTGTTTGTGTAAACAGCTTTAACCAGTCATATTGTCTGACTGCCAGAGGAGGGCGGGCTAATACTATTTACATTTCACAACATCATCAAACTCACTAATAAATTAAACCCGTCATCAGTCACATGATTAGAGATTGGACACACAGGTAGATGATGTCATCATGATGTCACCCAAGTTAGAATAAAGAGAGGAAAACAGAATGTGGACTCACCCTGCAGTCGCCGACAGACAACTGATCCACGCCAACGCTGTGTGTGCGAGAGAGAGTGTGTGTGTGTGTGTGTGTGTATGTGTGAGTGTGTGTATGTGTGTCCTGGTCTCTATGGCTCTGTGAGGACATGCCGCCTGGTCCTTACTTCATGTCAGACCTTCAGAGGACTGAGTTCAGGATCAGGCTTAGGTTTAGGTTTGGGCTCAGGTTCCAGGTGGTTTATTCTTCGAGTCTGTTTAATATTCAGAGTTTGGAGGTTTATCAGTCATTCAATTTTAACCTCAGGAGCTTCTGAATAAATTCTGTTCAGATCAAAAAGTGTTGTTTTTACTGTGAATCAGATGTGTAACAGGAGCTCTAAAGATGTGTTCAGCTGCGATTCCCAGACAAAAGTTGACTTTTGAAAATAACTTTTAAAATAAATTTGACATCAACCCTCTTGTGGGTCAAACTGATACTGCACTGTGGGAGTCAGAAGGGTAAGGTCATCAAAATGTTAACCACTGGATTTAAGATATATTTCTAAAATTTCTAAATTAGCTGCTTCCTTCCTCCTTCAATCAGATAAAAAAAATAGCAGATTTGAGAGTTTGAGGAAAGTTTCTAAGAGCAAGTGTGCAAACAAGGAGCCAACAAAGCTCCAAGCAGCAGAAACAGACGTAGATGAGATAAGGAGCTTCTACAGTCATAATTCATCCACATCAGTTGCACTTCAAGATGCAGCTGGTATCAGAACAAGTCAATGTTTGTTTGTTTTAAATTATTATTCTGAAGATAAATCTGCCTCTTTATGGGACCCAACTGTCACATCTACAGATCTGCCGCCTCTCTCCACAGAAAGACACAGTAACAGTAGTCACAACACAAACAGGCAAAGCTTAGTCATTCATGTACTTATATTCACAGAGTCTAGATGGTGAGTTTTCAATAACCTAGATGGCAAGGTTATTGAAACCTCGCCATCTAGACTCTCACAGAGAAGATCAGCTGATAAATTTCACAGATTTCCTGAACTTTTTATTTTATCTGTTCAAGTTTGTTGGATATTCTTTATTTAACCAGTTCTTAGCCATTGCTTCCTCACTTGCAGGTTATATTTTTAAGAAGTATTGATCTTGTTTTTTGAGTTCATTCGAGTGGCGATATAAAAAAGACTAAAATCAGGTTAACCAGTGGGCTGATTATTGAAATCATCAGTGTTGCCAAGAAGAACCCACAGGACAGTTCCAGAAAGCATAAAATTCGTCAGCAAACATGTTCTCTAACAGTGACCAGACCCAGGTACTTCATGCTGTTTTATTCTTACAGTAATTAAAAACCAGAAAGAGTCACGTTTGTTAACAAGGACCCCAAATGCAGACACACAGTAAGCCACAATAAACCAATCAGGATGCAAGAGTGGACGACAGTATAACAAGGCAACGAGGACACACAAATTGAGGGTATAAATGCAGGCAGAGGTATTCAGGGAAAGTAAAACTGAATACTAGATACATGTGAGGTTATGATTAAATCAGCTGTAGAGAAATATTAGCCTTATCCTCCCTCCGGGATTACTGACTGCACAGTTCAAAGAATAAATGTTTTAATTGTGCAGGAACTGTATTTGTGTGTTTGCATTCACATGGACCAGTTTAAAACGGTCCTGGCAACGCAGTGTGTCCCAGGACCTCACTCAGCCACAAAAACCAACGTGTGTGTGTTTCAGTGTTGCTGAGCAGCAGAATTGATCAGGAATGCTGCTGACCAACAGAAACACACACAGAGAGTGAACACATGGAATTTGGAGTTATTTTACGTTGTTTTTTGTGAGTTTTTTTGGTTTTAAATCTTTCCTTTAAGTCAAGTTTGTAGTTGTCATTGTCTGAAAATTAGTGTTTAATCAGTTAGTTTAAGCGGTTCATCACAATAACAATAAAATACCAATTCAGACACTTGGGCTGCCACACACGTTCGACTAAATACAGTGAAACTGCAGAGACTGTATGTTCATAAAGTCTGACCCCATCCTGCACATTCTTAAAGTGCATCTTTAAAAAACAAATTTCTGTTATTTGGCCTTAAATAACAGAAACCCAGAGTCACAGTTGCTGCTATATATTGTCTCTGATATTTGTGTGTGTGTGTGCAGCCCGCATGCACAGGGTCAAACTTCACTTGTGAACTAATCAGGGAATAACGGGGTGAAAACACAACCTGCTTCACTGTCAGCAGGTACTGTGTCCTGCAGTGGGCGACACTGAGCCTCATTCTGCAGGTTACTAAGACAACCGCAGGAGGCTGCAGAGCATGCAGACACTGCTGAGTGAAATAAATCCCTCCGTTCTCCATCTGAGCTTGTTTTTATCTTCCTCAGAGTCTCAAACACAGCACTCTGCTGGAAAACCTCTGTGAAGTCACAGACCCACCAAGACAAACCCTCGATCTTCCACTCAGCTCCAGAAATGCTCAAAAGATCAAATAAAAACAGAAAAAGCAGCAACGTGTCAATCACTGTTCAACCCCGCCCTAAATCCTTCTTGCTTCCTGCTCCTCTCTGACCTTAATGGGAACATTATCTCCAAAACAAACATGTTTTATTTAGTCCTGAGACCATAAACTCACCAGGAAAGAGTTCACTGAGCTCAAAGATCATCTGATGAGGAGACTCATTTCCTCACAGACTTCTATCAAATCAGAGCAGAGTCGTTGCCCCCAGGACGTCAGACAGACCGACACTCTGTGTGTGAAACATGACGACCTGATGAATTTCAGACACAAGTTGATGATCTGATAATGTTTCAATACTGATCTGTAGGAGCTGCTGCTCAGCAGATATGAACCTGGTTTTAACCCTGACCCTGTTTCAAGAGCTTTCTCTATCAGACATTGAATCGCTGAAATCATGATCAGCTGTGAGGAGTCTGAAGAAAGAATGAGGGCATGTTTTCAGGCTATAAATAAAACTGGATGTAAGGTCCATCCTTGTGTGTGAACTTCTCAGCTCAAGTGCCTTTATTGTCATTCCCACCACGTGCAGTGGTACAGTACACAGTGAAAGGAGACAACATTCCTCCAAGACCATGGTGCTACATATAACAGACACTCAACACAGGACTAGATAAAGTGCAAGTGTGCAAAAAAAAAAACCCTAAACAAAGACAGAAACTATACAGACACAGCAGTGCAATAGAAAAGTGCAACAATGAAAGTGGGTTGTGCAAAAACTAACTTGATGTATTAAGGGGTGCGTGTGTGTGTGTGTGTATGAGATTGTGCAAATAAGTGTTTGTGTAGCTGAGATATAGTGACAGTGAACTTTTTTCAAACTGCATTGTATATATTTTATTTTTTATTACTTAAATGGAATTTTTGTAAAACTAAGGTTCCACTGTTGTAGTGGGACGTTAATCAGTGGGACACTGCTAGGAAACATGTTGCATGTGTGGTGGGTTCCCAGCCAGAGTCGCATGGACTCCACACTGGACTCCACATTCTCTGTAGCTTGTCTCCCTGTACTAAATTATAAATTTAAGTTCGGTGTATTTTGCTTTACTAAGTATTAGTTCTTAGGGCTAAAAGTCCGCAAAGTACTAAAGTGATGGAAACTGCCTTTTATCATTATACCACCTATTTATGTTTTTCACTTGTGCTAAACAGAGAGGTCTGCTGCTGCATTTTGTCTTTTAGGCATATGTAAATAGCTTTTCCCCCCCAAGCAGTCCGGCTCCCGAGGACCACACTGCCCCCCTCCACACTGGACTCTCTTCTCCACACACTTCTTGGACTACATAACACTGTCCTCTCACTCCAGATACTTGCACTATGCTGTATTGCACTGTTTGACTCTGTCTGTGTACTATTGTACTTATTTATTCTCGTTCTTTTCTGTTCCTATTCTATTTCTATTCAAGTAAAACACTGTTGTACTTATTATTAGTTTATCTTATTCCTGTATAGTTGTGTATATATGTATATTTTATTTTTTTCAGTTCATTTTTACAGTTTGCACCTTTGATCTAGGAGGACGCTATTTCGTCCCACTATGTACTTGAGTCTATATTGTTGGGTTGACAATAAAACTCTGCTTGACTTGACTTAAATGTTAGAGTCATGTATAGATTTTGTTTTATGTGTATAATGAGTTTGTCATATAAGGCTGCACGTTAAATAGTGTTTTCAGTCATGTTGGGAAAATTTACTTTTGTATGAATATGTGTTTTGTAATTGATCCATCTCAGTGGGGATTTAAATATTATGAGTGATTATCAGTAGTTTATTTTGAAGTATACTTTGCTTCATATTTGTCTCAGTTTTACCACGCTATTACACTTGATTTTGAAGTGGCTGTTGAGAGAAACCATTGTTTTGATATTTTTATGTTTTTTTTAAATATTGTGTATGTAATGTAAGTTGTATGGACTCCACATTGGGATTAAGAAACACCTGCTGCTCTGAAAATGCTTAGAAAATAAAGCCAGTTTTGCAACCAGTCCCTGTTTGTCGTCATAAAACAGTCACACCATTTGAAATACGCTACACTTGGCAGTGATGTGTATGAGGGTGTGTGTGGCAGTCTGGTCACTGAGCTGTGAGAGTTGGATCCTCTTGGCGAGCGTTGCTGACTCAGCGGGTGAATCCAAAAACAGCTGATGGGATTGTGAGTGCTGTTTGATGGAGCTCAGTGGGAGTGAATCCTCTGAGGTTATGTCAGACTTTTAATGCAGCACGCTTCAAAAGATTTCCACAGAGACGAAGATCAGCAAATGCTTTTCAAACTTTCAGAGGTCAAAGAAGCAATCAACAATTAAAACGTTTCATTGTATTCAATAAAGACGACGGCAGCTTTGAGCTCTCATCTGTTTCCTGTAAAGGAAACAGATGAGAGATGGTTTGAGCAGCGCTGGATTAAAACCTCTCAGACTGACCTGATCACACAGAGCCATGCACGAGTCTGCAGGATAAGACCTCATTCAAGGACAGGTGAACAGACCTGTCAGGTATAAGACTCCAAACATGCATTTCTGTATTAAACCTTCATGTAGCTGTTTATCAGATTCATAGTGTACACATTAATTAATGCTATAATTTGCAAAATCTTTTACTCTCCCCATTTTTATTGTCTTTGTTCGTTTTCACTGCTGTATATGTAACATTTTACACAGCCTTCAGTGCTCGTGGCACTTTTACTGTGTTTATTTATTGTAGACTGGACCGTCTTTATCCTACTGCTCGAACACAATCATTTCCCTTGAGGGATAGAGAGGTACTTGTTGGTCCATATAGAAAGTGGAGGTGAAGAATTTAGGCTGCGGCACAAAAGCAGACTAGTTTCTGCTCATTTTATTTCTTCTTTTAAAAACTCAGACAGCTTCTAATAAATATAATAATACATTCACAGAAAGGGGGGGGGGAGGAGCTACAAACATCTTGGCACAGCGAAGGCGGAGGCTAACACTGAGGCTATGCTAACACTGAGACATGTAAGTACAGACGTGCAGAGTAAAAAAGTAAAAAGGCTTCAAGAAAATAGAAAAAGTAAAGAGAGGCTTTATACACCTGAAGGAAGAAACAGGAAGTGATGTTGGGGGGGCTGTGAGCAATGGGAGGAGTTTTCAGTCCTTTTTATTTTTGTATTTGCGTGCTACGTTTCAAGGCGGCACCCCCCCCACACACACAGGTCACCAGGTCACATGATGCTACAGCACTTACACGGCTTCTTCTCCTTCTCCTTCCCTGCCGTCTCCCCATTGCTTGCCACTGGTATCGCCATTGGAGGTTTAGTGGAGGTTGGAGGGGTCTTGGAGGTGGGCAGAGGTGGATCCGCCTCCTTTTCTCCCCCTGATGTCTTCCCGTTTGGGTCATCAATGTGCACCAGCTCGGCCTTCACCGTGCCCTGCAGCCCCAGCACCTTCTTGGTCTCGTCTTCATCCTCTACGCTCTGGTATCCCATGAACACCATGGTAACCGGGTTCTCAGTGCTCGCCTCAGCCACGCTCGGCTCACCACCCACTTTGGCCTCTAGCCCTGTGATCTCCACTGGAACCTGAGGTAGCGGCGACTTGGACCGCATCAGCCCCAACTCCTCCCGAACCTCTGCTGTCGGGAGGGATGTCACAGTGGTGACAGTCTGTGACATCATCGACGCCTCATCAGCTTTGTGGATGAGCTCTTCAACCTCAGAGGAGCTGAGCAGGTGGACATCCTCACCATTCAGCTCATGGACCACTGGGAGACAGGAAGACACAGGTGAGGGTCAGAATGCAACACCTGAATGCTCTCCAGCTGAAGGACCAATAAAGACTCACTGAATGATGTCACAGAGTACACCTGTGCAACAGCTTCCTTCAGCTGGAGCTGAAAGTGATGAGGTGTGACCACCTGACTGTCAGGTGAGTGTTGATCAAGCAGGCAGGCTGCAGCCGCTGTGGCTTTAGGAGAAGGAAAACTACTGCTGTGAAAATCTGCAAACCTCCAGCAGGAGGCGCTGCAACAACCAGACACATGGATCTGCTCCTCACACTGTGCTATAAAATGTCCACTGCAGGAACTCAGCAGGAATGACCCTCAGATCTGAAACTCTCAGGATACAACAGCCCGTCACAGATGTGTAACGCAGGTGTGTAATGCTATGAAAATGCCTGGTGGAACATCTGACAGGTAATGAGTGGAGTTCAGAGGTCCTCCCAGATATGCTGAGAGTTTCAGAAGTGAAGATGTGGAGGTGTTCAGCAAAGACTGTGAGGGCAAATAGTTCAATAACTTAAGAAAGAAAGAATGAGTGATTCATCATCTACAGTCCGTGAGCTTGTGAAGAGATTCAGATAAATGCGCGCACAGCAGAGCTGAAATCAGCCCTTTGAGAGTCAGTTATTGCATCAGCAGGTCCCTTCTCGTAAAGCCGGCTTTGTTTTTATTTATTTTTTCTTGTTTACTTGCTAACATCACCTTTCTGCTCATCTTCGTAAACTTTGACCCCTTGGTCAGAGAGGTCAACAGGAAGTTTGGTGTTACTGGACAGAACCCTGGTTTCCCCCGTCACTCTGTCCCGCTCTACTTTAATCTCCACCGAGTACATCGCTGGATTGGGAGGGGTTAGAAGGGATCACATGGGGTTACACAGGGTCAGAGAGGGTCAACACAACAGACACAATAAGCTGCTGTGGATCTAAAGATGAAAGCAGCAGACAGAAGGTTAGATCACAGAAGAGAAGAGTCAGGACAGAGAAAACAGCAGGTCATAAACAAGCACCCCAGGTGAGGGGTAACCTTCCAATAGCAAAGGTACAGCTCTATTAGTGTGACATGACATAACCATGCAGAACAAAGAAGGGTCTGATGACCAGAAGGAATATCTGAGGCTCTGCTCGCATCATCCAGACTGACTTTGGTACAGTGTGTATATCCTCTCCTGCTGCCTCAAATAACTGAACTACCAAAACATTTCAGCTGCAAACAACCACAACTCAGATAAGTCCCAAGGATCAGATACACTAAATGGACACCAGCACCCACACATTACCCTGAGAGGAGCTGCTCAGCCATGAAGCTCCTGGTGCACAGTGTCTGCTGATGTTAATGCCAGGGATGGATGGATGAATGAATGGATGAACAGATGGATAAATGGGAGAAAAGATGGATGAATGGATGGATGGATGGATGGATGGGAGAATAGACTAATGGATGGACGGACAGATGGGTGGATTGATAAATGGGAGAACAGATGGTTAGGCGGATGGAAGAATTCTCCTGAACTGACTTTTGTAACAGTGGCGTCCTGTTAGCACCACATTGGAATTGCTGAGCTTTTCAAACTCTGTCTCTCATACAGATAAAGGCAGGTCACAGGTGGTGGATTAATACACCTGTGGCACTGATTCACAGATTAACAGGTGTAACTCAGGACTTTTGTCCATAAGTGTACACGGGAGACGTTTTCCATCAGATGTTGAGGGACACTGTGAGGAGGTGGAGGAAGAGGAGCTTGGATGCAGCTCAGGTTATTGTGAGAGTTTATTCCTGAAACTTGAAATCTGTGAGTCTGCCTCCTCTGTTGCTGCGTTGTTTGAGTACATGTGCATCACTCTGATTTTCTCTCTGCATGTTGAGTGAGGCTGCATGTATTTATTAAAGTCAAGGGAAAGAATGTGAAAGCTCTACTGATGCTTCTAATCTAACACGCTTCAAGCTTCACTTAACATGTGCATGTTGACAGTTGCTGTGAGGACTCGACCTTCAGGATGGACTGAGTGCTGACACAGCGGTCACACTCTGGCTCCGACATCGTCTTTTTCCAAAGACCTTCACATCTCCCGTGGAAACCCCTGCAGTCATGCCAGGGGTAGATTCAGACCTGCTTCTGTTCAGCCTTAAATACCAGCAAAGTGTCAGGACACTCCCACAACTTCATACATTCATTTAGCCCATGATTCATTTCAATAGCCTCCCACAGATCCTACACTATGAGGGAAACAAGACAATAACACACACACACACACACACACACCCATCACACCAGCCAACACACAAATTCACTGTTAACGTGACCCTAAAACGGACTTACAGATAGAGACAGGAAGACAGCTGTTAGAGACACATTAAGGTTGATGTCCCCTCTCCTCCCACGTGTCCACACTCTATGACCTCTGACCTTACACATTTGCAGGGTGAATGATAACAGACTCATTAAAATCACTGAAAGCTGCGATTAATTATATTTTACCGATTCTTCGAACCTCATCACGGAGAACCAAACACAAACTCTTAAAGTCAGGAAACAACATGGCTGATCTCATCTGTACTTTATTCTTTTACTGGCTTTATTAGACAGTGCATCAAAGACAGACAAGAAAGCAGGTCTTCCACCTGCGTCAACCCTCCAGCTGCTCTCAGCCATAGGGCCTATGGCCATCTCCTCCTCCCAGTGAGCTAATCGTTAGCCATGGAAATATTCTGGATCTATTTCCTGACTTGGTGACTTCCAGGTGAGCTTCATGTCCCACCTGAGGAAAACTAGCTCAGTTCACCAGTTTAAGACGACCCCCGTCAGGTCGGTGCAGAGTGGGTGTGGTCACTTCTGACTCACCTTTCTTCATCTCCTCGGTCGCCTCTCTGGGTTTGTTCAATCGAGGACTTTTGTTGACTTTGACCTCTGCAGGGGCTTGTGGGTAAAAATGGGCCAGGCACAAAGACAGAGCAGAGAAAGAACTAACAGTGAGGTTATCACAACAACTTACCGTAATGTAACTGTAATCTGATTACTGAGATCTGATTACAGTTATAGCACAGTCTCACCTTGGATCACCTGAGTTGCCAGTGGAGTCATGTCCTGGTGATGCCTTTCGCGATCTTTGACCTCTACAGCTGATCAGAGACAAACATGAGACAAAGGCTTCACGAATAAAAACAGACAGAGAAATTTAGAAATTTACCTGAAGCTGGTCTTGATGACACCTGGAGGCACAAACAGAGAAAGGAGGTTTATCTTCACAATAAATCCTCCATCAATAAGTAGAAGGAAACAGGAAACAGAAACATGAAAAAACCTCCAAAGTAAGCCAGTCCTGCCAGCGAACCCCCCTCCCAACAGGCTCACCCATGTAATCCAACCTAATTTGTTTCAAATGATCTATTAACCCTATGAGGACAGCAGAAAAGCTGATTTTAGAAAGGAAAAATAGTGATATTAGAAAAGTGTGTGTGCGTGTACACTCACCTTAATGTTAGTTATGGTCTGACAGACAGATCCAGTCTCAAGGCCGACAAGTTCCTGCTGCAGCCTACAGCACACACACACGCGCGCACACACGCACACACACACACACACACACACACACACACACACACACACAGTTGATGGTTTTAATCCCACAGTGAATAAGGCCACCCTTCCTGGATGTTCGGGCTCGGCGGCTCAGACCTGTCGATGGTCTCCTCCAGGCTCCGGGTCCGGGCCTCGTCCTGCTCCAGCTGTCTACGGACCTCGTTCTGCTCGGGTCCAGCAGATGCTCCCTCCAGCAGCCAGCGGTCCCTCAGAGCCTTTGACTGAAACACAGGTCACACAGATGACAGCTTAATTCTAACACGTGATGAGGCGCGTATCAAATTCATATTTGTTCATGAATGTTTATGAAAAGAAGAGCTGCAGAAACATGTGCTTAAAGTTCCCTCATGATCTGCTCACTATGAAGCCCACCACCGAAGCCGTCGTCATTCCTTCATCATTTCTTTATAAAGGAGGCAGGTCGAAGGTGTGCAGGTGAGTCCAGCTGTTCGATTGGAAGCTGTGAGTGAGACAGGAAGTCCTTTGACTGCAAACAGCTGACAGATCATCAGGAGAGGACAGACTGGCACTCTGATCCACTCAGAAAACAATTAACATAAAGGCCTGAAAGTCCACAGGAGACACCTGGGGATCCTGTCCTTCATCAAAGCTTCCAGCTAAGTGAGGAAGACTCTCCAGCAGGAAGATGTCCACAGAGCATGAAGAGAATAACCAAAGCAGATCAGAGGGTTCAAAGCATCTGTCAGCCTCGGGAATTGAAAGCTTCAACCTTAAAAAGTGTCAGAAAGGCTGAGCAGCTCCAGACTAAACAAATCAGCCAGCAAGACGAAGATCAGAGCAGCACGAGGAAGGAAACCTGGACATCAGACTTCACAGTCTGCAAAAAAATCCCCATGCACGGTTAAAACTAAACCAGCGGGTTCATCAGAGCTTTTACATATATAACCTGAGCTCTGGTCTCATTCTGAGCGGTTCATTAAACCCTTGCAGCTGACAGCAGCAGACACTTAGCTGCACAGCTCTGAGTGGGATTCGTCTTCGCCGGGTCGTCTTTCAAACTCTCAACGATTTTAATCAGCACCTTAAAAAGCTGCTCGTTTCACACACTTGCTCACATGCTGGCAGAAAAAAATCTTTATCCATTTATTGTTTTGACGTTTTGGCTACCCAACACCACAAATTGGAGAGCATCAGCATCATGTCCTCAAAGGAGAAAACTGTGAAAATGGAATAAAATCATTTTAGTATCTAATGATCGAAAGCAGGCGTGCACAGACAGCAAGGGGTGCTCATGGACCAACGTCCATCAGGAGGACGTCTGAGTGTCCCTTTAATAAACGCGTGAAGCCTGAATGGATCCTTTTAGTTGAATAAAACTATCTGGATGAGCTTGGGCTCTCTGAACTCGCGGCCTCCTCCTCATCAGGAAAACAGCTGCTATTTCACATGGCCCTGGCAGTTCTGTCCTACCTGCGTGCTGTTTGGCTGATCTCAGATATTTTTACCTTGCAGCTGTTCTCAGTTTGTGCCTCTTGAATCTCCAAATACCTGAATGACTCAACACACAGTGAGCCAGCAGGAGTAGGAGCCAGAGAGAGTTACTCTTTATTTTTTCTGGTGAAAGACAAACTGATAAGAGTCATTAATGAAATATGATCTCATATCAAAGATCAATAATAGATGAGATAATTTACTGGCAGAAATAAATTTTCCAGAGCACTTCAGTCTGGAATATACAACATCTGAACGACAGGTTTCTGTTTCTGAGTCTCTTTGAAGCAGAAGATCAGCGATGGTTCTGAGGGTTTCCATTATGACTCTGTGATCTCAACTTATTTTAGACTCCTGAACATCACCACAGCTCAACTACATGACTGCTTTGGTCCACATTCCTGAAGCACTCTAAGCTGTCACCCGGGCCACCATCTACAAATGTTGGAGGGACAGATGGTGCTGCAGCTTTGATAATAAGAAGCAATTTAAAACAGCATTGTGTTTCCAGGAACACAGGCTGATTTATCCCATAAAAGTGCACAGTTCTTCTCTGGAAGACCAGCTCTGAATAGTGTTGAATATTACAAATTTTACACAAATGTGCAAAAAAAAGTCTAGAATAACCAGGACTGCGAAAAGTGTGCAGACCCAGGAACAGTGCAAGGACATCATCAGCAGACAGGAAGTAGGAACACAACAGAGAGCCGCCTATCAGAATAAAACAGGAAATGACCACTGACCATCTGAAAGAAGGACATGAATAAAAACATCAGTGTGAAAGAGCTGGACCCCACAGAGCATTCAGGTTTTGGTTTCGTTTATTTAGTGCACAAAAATGTTCCTTTGTGGTTTGGCATCAATGTCAGCTTTGTAGCCAACTCCACACCGACTCGTCTCAGGTCCCGGCGTGGGACCTGAGGGAGGGAGGGAAACCTCGTTAACACAATCATCTTCACCTGCCCATCAGACTCCATGGCACAGCCCCTTGAGTGCACTGCAACACCCCTCCACTGCAGCGGAGCCAGAGACCACGCCCCTGCCATAATCAGGCCTGGATCAGACCCAGATCAAACCTAGATCGGGCCTGGATCCGATCTGGATCGGTACGAAGGCTTCAGCATCTTGCTCACCTCTGAGTGCACCTGACCTTTAAACAGAAAACAGAAAACAGGAAGTGGTGGGCTCACCTTCAGGTGCTGTAGCGCCCTCCTGTCGTCCTCCAACTGACGCTTCTTGTTCTCGATCTCCGTCTGCCACTTCCTTTTCTCCTGCAGCATTATGGAAAACAGAACCAGCTGCTCATTGGGATCAATAATCCAATCACACTTCTGCTCTGAAGTAATCCACTGAGGTAATCTGATTACTGACTGCATTCTCTTAGTGTGGGCTTTTATTTTGAAATAAAATAAAAGTGTGTTTGTTTAAATAAAGTTTAAAATTCAGAGTCAACATTGATAACTTCGAGCAATAAAACTTACTGTGTATGTGTGTGTGTGTGTGTGTGTGTGTGTGTGTGTGGGGGGGGGGGTCTCACACACACATCTGAATCATTGATACTAGGTGTGTGAGATGCTGCATTCACTGACTGTAAGTAAACTCACCACAATGAGCTGCAGTCGATCCTGCTGATAGAGAACCTCGCTCACCCTGAGGGAGAGACAGACAGACAGGTTAATGATGTCACTGTGACATCACTGTGACATCACTGAATCGTACGTTTCCTTGTTCCGCTTAACAAGGAACAAGGAAGCACAGAAAACTGTGCTCGATGCACAGCTCTGTTTACACTTTAGCCTCACACACTCATTCATACACTGACTAGCTATCTCACACATACACACACACACACACACACGCACACACACACACACTCCAGCAGAGTCTTGAAGCGATCAGCTAACAAGCGCTCAACAGCGGTGAGTCATCAGTTATTGGCTGTAAAGATGGCTGCCCTCTAAAGTTTGCTGGAGCTGAAGGCAGTGCGAGGCCTCAGGCGGTCTGTGCTGACGGAGCTGCTGACGGAGCTGCTGCTGGTTGGTCTAGCTTCAGGAAACCAGAGTTCACCAAACAAGGAGCAGCCAGATGCAGACGTGGCGTTAGCCCCGCCCTGATTCCTCCCTGAGTCTAATGGGAGCATCGCACCCAAAGTAGACTTCATGTTTTATTCAGTGAGACTTCTACTGGAGGCTGAGACCATGAACTCATCAGGACAGCGATCACTGGGTTCAGAGGTCAGCTCGATCCAGCTCTCCTCTCTGGAGGACACACAGTATGCTTTACACTTTAAACTTTTCCTCTCAGACACCTCAAACAAAGCTTCACTTTAAGGTCTCCATGGAGACCTCAGTCTACTGCAAGGACCGACAACACCAGCAGCTAGAACCCGGCCCACTGGGAACCAGTTCAGACACAGCGCCCTGACGAGGAGGAGGTGCTTTAAAGGCTCAAACTGAAGCTCTCTTTCTGGTTTTTTGTCCATGCCTACTCAGCAGCAGTGAGATGTATTATAGAGAGGGGCATGGCAGGTAATGGGACAGGAGCTCAGACTGATGATTGGATGATATTAATTATTGATCAGTTTGTGATCCGTCTGAGAGGAAAGGGTTCCGGTCAGTCAGCAGGTGTGTAACTTTTAATTGAAACGCCGCATTAGAGGCAGACAGGAAGTCCATGCACTGCAGTGATGAAGTACTTGCAGTAAAAACAGGAGAGTACAAATACTCAGTTACATGTTAGAGTAAAAGTACTCTCAGCTTAGCCTTTTAAAGTAAAGATAAGAGATAAGATCAGATAAACCTTTATTAGTCCCACATATGGCACTAACACGTGGTTCTGCTCTGGGCTGTGTCCTTGTCCAGACACCACATCCTACTACTGCCTCTGAGCCTCCACCAGGCTGCAGCAGCTCCATCAATCCCACAGGCACACCAAACAAGCACACAGGAAGTGCACTTCAAAATAAAACAGCTGCTTGGATGAAACTCAATCAGCTCCCAGACTCTGATTGGCAGTCTTTTCTGAAGTCTGGGTTTATTAAGTGGCTGTGAGGAAGGCAGGAGGAAATAATGAAGAAGTCACAAAGAAAACAGATTTCTGCAGAACATGATGGAAAATAATACAGATAAAAAATTCCCAAAACACAAAGTGGGAATATTACCTACAGCTTCCTGTTTACCTGCATCAGGTAAAATCTGATTATCTGATGAACCTCAAACCTGACGTACAGAAACATCAGAACTCATCTCAGCACCATCTGACACCTGGATCTGCTCCCAGGTGTGACTCTTCCTGTGGGAATCATCCATCAGGTGCGTCTCTGCAGGTGTATGGTAACTCCATAGTGAGTGAGACTTTGTGCAGGTGTGTCAGTGCAAGTTTTATGCTGAAGTTTCTGAAAATTCACACTTTGTGGTAATTCTTGTAATTCTGTAAGTGACATCGTGACATCATTAAAGAGCCTGCCTTGCTGAATTTAGAAAACTGAACCAATCGGACTGGGGCTTAAACCTTATATTGTGAAGAACCCTGCCGGAAGTCACCCTCTCCTCACACGTCCAACTTGACGGAAGTGACTGAGCTCAAATGAGGAACACAGAAACTGATCAATATGTAATCATAGACGCTCGTGCTGCTTATTGATCAGAGCTGGTGCTGTTTCCGCAGGAGAAAGTAGAGCACAGAGCGGTTTGATCACTCCGCGGGTCCGCACGCCCTTTAACCCATCACCTGCCGCTGCGGTGACTCGGACACCCCCACCCCACCCCCCAAAGTCTCCAGTTTGGTGCAGTTAGCCCCCCACCCATCCCTCGGTCCTGACTCAGCGCCCTGATGCCGCACAATGACGACACGAGTCTCAGATACGTCACAAACACAGAAAAACAACCAGAAGAAGAAGAAAGAAGAAAGGAAAGAAAGAAGAAAGAGAAGAAATAAAGTGTACTCACTCCTCCATGTCCGACGGCAGATCAGTCCGCAGCAAAGTCAAACATCTGATCCACATCCGAGAGAGAAAAAAACCCGCCCACCGGGGAGGACGGAGGACAGGAGGGAGGGGGAAGGAAAGGAAAGGAGAGGAGAGGAGGGTAGGAAAGGAGAAAAGGGTAGGAGAAGTTTTGGATGTTGAACCTTTTTTGGTCAGATTTTGACGGCACAGTTGAAAGTGTGCTTGCAGATTCATAATCAAGAGATCAGAGTGAGGAAGACTTTTACTTTGAAATCAGTCCAACATGCAAAAACGCTGTTATTGATTCCCAAAAGGTTGATTCTGTTCATCTGGACGTTTTCAGTGGGAGAAACGTTTCGTCATCATCCAGGTGACTTCTTCAGTCTCAGCTTACAGCAGGTCTCCAACCTTATAAACGGTTCTTCTGCACAATGACTGAAACTAGCCAGACAGAATCAACCTTTTGGGATTTACTTACCTGGATGACTGAGCATGCATCAAGAGGCTGTTATTGATCGATTGACTGATGGATGGAGGATCGATGTTAAAAGCTGTGAGGTGAACGGGATGAAGATGTGGAGCTCTTGGTCTCCATGATGACTTATTATTTTTATTACTGCAGCTGTCACGGGGACAGACTGGGACGTCAGACCGGGATGAGACTCGGTAACAAAGCCTTCTGCTTCACACGAGTATTTCCTCACTGCACTCTCCATGTTTGCTCCTCGTCCTTCATATCATTTATCGTACATGTGAATCCATTTTTCATGCGCTTAAGTTTCATGAAGCTTCCTGCAAGTCATTCACATCATGAAAGTGATAAACACACAAATGACTCCAGAATTATCATCCAGTACCAGTAAGTACTCATACTTTAGTTACTCTCAGTGTAGTTTGAGTGCTTTTTAAACTCTGTGTTTCACGTGAAGCGCCAGGATGAGGCGCTTCATTTTGAATATAATGTCATATTTATGTCGACACTCCAGATATTTGGTAATGAACATGTTAAAGTTTTGTTTTTGGTACAGTTTAAAGACAGACATTTATCCCGAGGACAGTTTGTCTCATTTTCCTTTCATTTAACATGGAAGGTGAAGCAATAATCCTGCAGCAACACCTAGTGGTGGTTAGAAAGAGGTTTTTTTTAAATAGTTGACTTCCTGCAGACCACGCTTCTTACTGTACTGACAGTTTTACTATTCTCATCACTTCAGTGTGAGGAGTGGAGGTTCAGGCAGAGCTGGAAGATTGCTCAGGTCAGTCTGGGGGAAGTCTGACAGGTGCTGGAGACAGCTGAGGCTGCAGAAGGTTTTATTCTGAGTAGAGGAGGTAGGATGTGAGTGGAAACAATGGTTTGGTTTCACTTCAGATCTGAGGGCGTCTCTGATGGAAGCAGACGTTTCACGCATGGTAGGAAAGTTCACGAAAACCTCTGGATGGTGTTCCCTGCAGAACTTGACGCACCACGACCAACACAGGCCACCAGAGGGCGCTACATCAATATGAGCATACAGGCTGTGTTTTAATGTGTTGTAATATAAGCGAGCCCCTGAGAGAATCATCAGTTGCCGTTGTTGGCCTCTCTGGCTTTTTATTAGCACGTGTTTCCTGTTATACTCTTCTCAGGCTCCGTCCTGAATGCTGTTTCCTTCCAATCTGTTGGAATTTCACGGTGATGTTAAAGCCACCTTGCCTCCACCAGTACCACTCTGCATGCAGAACTTTTTCTGCTAATAACTTGAAGAGAAAAATCAGCGGTTTTGTGGAGGACTCTCATTTGACTATCACCGTTGAGCTTCTGTCATGTTGTCGTTTCTTTTAACCTCCTTTTTCTTCATTGGTTCTGCAGGTTTGTTCTGGCCCTGCTAGGTGGGTGTGCTCACATCCTGTTTTATATCACGTTGTATCATGTTTTTGAGATTGTGAACTTTCAACTTAGTTTTACAGGTTTTCGCCTCATTCATAAAGCATCAAAGGAATTAAGTCACAGATAAACAATTAAATGGGGGAAATGTCCTTTTTTCACTTTTACAGTGAGTTCACAGAAAAAAAGACATTTTCTTTGAATGAGAACATTATATTTTATAATTACAGGACAGTAATTACTTCTGTCCTACAGAACTACTTCTGTAATTTTACACATTTATCGTGTGATAAATGGTTTGGCCCCATTAGGATCAACGTAGCTTGTACCTGGCCCATGAGTTACAATGAATTTGATGTCCCTGTATTAAAGCCTCTGTGAGTGATCACTCTGCTATTGTTAGAGCAGGTGAAGGCATCTGAGGGTCACCCTCCCATCTTTTCATCCCGACTCGACTATTTTAGCCATATTTGCTCAGGTCAATGACTCACTGCACAGAGGCAGGTGCCTCCCTACCTCACCTCTTTATTATTTTCTCTGCTCTGCAGCACTTTTATCAAACAGCTGTTTTTAATTGTGCTTTGAATTAATCTGACTTGAAATCAGCCTGTGTGTTGGGGTTGATCAGTTTGTGAGGACACAAATCACACTGCACGAGTGCCTTAAAGACCTGGATCACCTCTCATTTCTACAAAAGAGGATTAGGAACGCTAAAAAAAAACCCCAACTTTTTCACCATTCTTAAATAATAAAATAAGAAATACAAAAGCTCCCCGCCCACCTTTTTCCAGTGGTCTCAGATAAAACGAAGCTTATCATATTTGGAAAGATGATGCCTGTGAGGACTCCTGGAGCTGTTTCTGACCAGGATAAGTCTTTCTATGTGCATATTAAACAAGTTGTTTCTTTCTAAAAACTTCCTGTTTTTGCACTCGCTGCCTCTCCTCCATCCTCACTGATGGATCTTTAAATTTGTCTACTCTCTTTTTCTCCTCATCTCAGTGCTCCCCTTCTTGGGCCTCGTTTCCTGTTAAAAGGGACTTCTTCATCCCCACTGTTGCCAGGTGTTGACATCGTGCAATCGTTCCTCTTAGCAGCTTGAAGCTCTGTATTGGTGCTAATCAATGACTATAGAAAAGATGGCGAACCTGGCTGCACTTCCTCCCATTGTACAAAAATGAAACCCGCTTGAAGGAGCTGCCATGTTGCACTTTTGGAGCCCGAGTCTGCGCGGTTGTGACTTGAGGTAGAGCATCAGCATCATACACCCACTGGACATGACCGTTAACACGCCTCCCCACACTTTTTTCGTAGCCCGGCTGCTCCGGCCCATCTGCTGATGGGTTTACAGTGACTCGTTAAATACAACCACATCACTATTATGAAAAAGACACACAACTTATCATCTCATAGTTCTACAAGTTTTCTACAGTCATCAGTGCTAAATGAATAAAACTGAAGTGAATATAAAGGAATGACCATGACTTTAGAGTGGATGTGAACTCACTGGCACACAATCAAACTTTTATGAGACCTTGCTCTTTAACAGAAAGCTTAAGTTTAATTGAGTTTAATGTTAGCCGTGATTGATTTAAACTCAGATCAATATACACTGATTTTCACAATAAAACACTGCATACACTGTGTGAAAGGGACATTTATTTTGAAAGACAATCATTGCAGTTAGTGTTTCAATGCACAAATGATGTGTGTGTGTGTGTGTGTGTGTGTCTGAGATTATCAGTACATTTTTTTCAGCTCTCATGATTTCCAGCTCATTGATTGGTTGGATATTAAAAAAAATTGTCTGCAGGCACAAAGAAGAAAATCTGAAGAAAACAAACTAAAGCTGAAAATCACTTCCTGGGTAAAAAAAGATCAATTTAAAGCTTTGCGAATAAAAGTTAAAAGCTAAATGTTCACTGTAAAGATAAAATATCAGAAGGATTTGATTTTAACTTCATCTGTTTGTTCTTCAGTCGCTCCTCTGGGTGGGACGAACACAGCGGACTGCTCCTTTAACAGTTGATCAGCTCCATGCTGATTGGGTAGAGACGGACGGCAAGCAGCTCGTACCAAACGTCACGTTTGAAGATTGATTTGTAAAAATTTAAATTAAAAAAAAAATTAAATAAATAAATTACCGATGAAATGTTTTGACTTTCAAAAATCAGTCAGAGAGAAAATTCATTGGTTCTCGAAGGACTACACTTCCCAGAGTGCACTGCAGCAGGCCAGCCAATCAGCTGGTAGCAGTCTGACCCACAATTCTCTGCACAGTGGGAGAAACACCCGAGGGAGGGGGTCAAGGGTCAAACTGATCACAGACTGTATTGAGACATGTCTTCTGAGGCTCGTGGGTAGTGTAGTACTTGGAGCACACCAAGGAAGAACGGGGGAAGATCTGTGCTGAGGTCAAAGCAGGAAATGGAACTGGACCAGAACCTTCAGGACAGGAAGTTGAACGACCGTCGTCAGGGATACCAGAGACACTACATCTCCGGTTTCCCTGACAATCTTCTGAAGATTATCGGGAACGAAATGCCACTACTTAATCACACGCTTACAGTCCTGTGACCTCTGTGTGCTTTACTGTAACTGAGGGACTGTAACATTCCCACTGAGATAATCGAGTGATCATCACAAGGTCTGTATTAAATCACCGCTGAGGTCAGACGAGTCACGGAGTGACATATCCACACATCCACAAGCTAACCAACTCTCATCCTAACATCAGACAGACCCAATCAGAGATGTGAACAGCTGATTTTACAACTACAATAAAAAAAAAAAAGGCTGTTTGTTTAATGTGAGATACTATTTGAGGTTGACTTCAGTGTCCCTGAGTTTGATTACTATTCGTTACCCCGATGATGCCGATGGTGACCAGGAGGTGGAGCTTAAGTTAATACAGTTTCATTTATATAGCACCAAATCACACCAGTCGCCCTTAGGCGCTTTAATGACATCAGCCTTACTGATGTCACCTGAACGTTGAAATTATGTCGGATATCTATCACAGCCTCACACTCTTTGTCGCTGACAGAATCAACCTTTGGATCTCGTGCTTGAATCTTCAAATGTTCTCTGACTGACCCGCGTAAACCATCACACCGGACTGCTTAACGAGCACACCTCAGAGACACAGTGAAGTCACCCCGATGGCGATGATAACAATGGCGTTGGTAATCACAAACTTGTTGTCGTTCTGAGAGGCTCATGGTCTCATTTACTTGCACAGCCCAGGATCAGATGATGGAGACATGAGCAGGTGTTTATACGACCTGCATTAAAATGCAATAAAACTTTAATATCTCAACAAAGAAGCCTCCACTGAGGGGGCGTCGGTTCATTTTCTCCGCAGTGTATAAGCTTCTGATCCAGTCGCCGTTTTACCTGCCCCTACATGCCACGCCCCCTAAATTGCCTAGTTTTCAGTGTGTTCATGTAGCTCTTATATTTACAAGGTTTCACTGCTTTACCTGGAGCAAGTGCAAGACTCCATTTGCAAAAACAGGAAGATTACCTCGCAGAAAAGGAGAGGGGATTGTCTGATTGACTCGTTAGTCCTTTGGTCTTTTAATGTCTTCGTTTGTAAGCTCACGAGTTTAGAGATAAACCCCACCTAGCGTGTTTCCTGTGAGGTAAAAATCTAATTGGCGGCTCTGACAACAGCGAGTTATTGTCGGGTCGGTCTCCTGCACCCTGCAGGAGAACCTCGAGATAAGCTTAAAATGA